AAAAATTAATTAATCTTAAAGCACTGATATGGCATTGTAGGCTACCAGCATCTTAATTTCAGGCAATTAAGTATTATGTTAGACTTCCAGATTCCAGAACTACAAAATGATGACATTATTTTGTATAAGACAGATTCTGTGGGAAATTTTTAAAGAATAAATAAGAATTTACACAGAGAACTTAACTACATTTTGCTCCATGTATCTTAGAAGCACTGTGCTTATAAATAACCTACAGGGTCTGACATGTTATCTCATCAATGGGCCAGACACAAGGGCTAAAAGTCAGATGAAGAAAATGTGCAGAGATGTGTGTGGTGCAGGTAGCTGATGAAACTCAGAGAGGAGTTTTGTGTTGGAGACTGAAGCACTGTGGGAGGTGAGCAGTAAAGCTGCTAAAAAGTAATAATCTTTGTATCTGTGGAGGTTTGTTATGTTTCCTATGTGGTCAATTTTAGAAAAGGTTCCATGTGGCTCCTAGAAGAAGGTATATCCCTTTGTGTTTGGGTGGAATGCTCTATACATGTCTGTTAAATATAGTTGGGTCATAACTTCTATGGCAAACCTGACTTCAAGCTCAATTACAGAGATATAGTCCTGAAAACAGCATGGTATTGGCACAAAAATAGACAGGTAGACCAATGGAACCGAATTGAAAACCCTGGCACCATTGAGACCTCTAGTGATCTAAAGGGATGACACCAAGAAATAGTGAAGAGACCACCTTAAATGCCCATTCCTGATAATGAACTTGATGTCTACCTTATATGCCATCCTAGAACCTTCATCCAATGACTGATGGAAGCAGAGGCAAACACCCACAGTTAAATACTGAACTGAACCCATGGAACCCAGTGACAGAGAGAGAGGAGCAATGAGCAAATTGGCAAAGAATGAGCTGGCAAATCCAGCAGAGACAGCTGATCTGAACAAGGGGGAGCTCTTGGACCACAGACCAACAGCTGGCAGGCCAGCATGGGACTGATCCAGACTTCCTGAGAGTGAGAGTCAGTGAGGAGGCCTGGGCAACCTATCGGGCCCTGGGCAGTATATCAGTGTTTACTTTAATAGGGACAGTGTTTAAACTAATCAGTGTTTACTTTAATAGGGACAGTGTTTAAATTAATAGGAACAGAAGGGAAAGGGTGGAATAAAGGAAAGGAAGGAATAAGGAAGGAAGGAAAGAAAGAAAAGTAGATAGGAGGAAATGACAAATTCTTAAATTACAGAATGAGAAGAGAACAGGAAAAGAGAGTGGATGAATAAAAGGAAAGGGTAAAGAAGGAAAAACAGAAAGTAAAAGTAGAAAATATTGAACCAATTATTTACCAGACTGTATGGAAATTACAGATCATTGAAGCTACTCATTTCCTAAGTCAGTAGAATGCACTACAAAACCCTGAGGTGCTAAAGACAGGCATAGAGTTCCATGGAATTATATGGCAGCCTCATTTAAATATAATATTAAAATGGCTTTTAATGTCATTGTAAATGTAAGCCAAATACCCTTCCAAACATTAGACAATGAAAAGAATGGTATGATAAATAGAAAATGAAAGGCAAAAGTGAAAAATCAAGAACTCCTTGAAAAGTCAGGTTGTAATCCAACACTGAAGCTCAATACTGATAAAATTTTCACTTCTTCGAGAAGTTCATATCCTATAGCCCAGGTACTAAATCAGTGGATCATTTAACTGATCCCATAGGCCATAAAAATGCCAACAATAAAATATAAGAAAGTACATCAACCAAAAATAAATTAAAAGCAGATGAAGAGTTCATTTAAGTTGTTCTGGAAGTGTGAACCTCTGTTGCATCAATGAATTTTGCTGCAGCCTTGATTCTCAACATAAAACATGTACACTTTTACTATGCTTATCAATATATTGTGTAACAGTAAAATTGAGGCATTGGCTAAGATTTCCCACTACTATATGTTATATTATGCATTGAAGTCTTTTAGTATACAAAGTTATCTTTTCTAATAAAAAAGTCACCTACCATTATTCATAACCATATAAGTATCATTTTCATATATCTATGGGTTTTATAGTGTTAGAATACTTATGTCGGTGTTTGAGTTGCTGATTTGACTTGTATAAAACTGACCAAATGGTTTATTCTGGGATTAGGAAATAATTTCCAAAAATTCCTGAAATGCCCCAAGCATAGTGTATTGATGTGACATGGTAATCTTAGCATTGATAATTATAAAATCACAGTATCAACCAACTCTGAAATATGCTGAAGTTTTGCTACATGCTATGAAATCAGATATTCAGACAAGGTCAATGTCTTTCATAAAAATATACAGGCACACCCATATCACTAACATGTAGATTTCCTTTTATTGTTTGTAAATAATAAAATTATAAAGTAACAAAAAGGTTTTAAAGCAATCTCTTCATAATTTGTTATCAGTTAAATTTCTGTCTTCTACACCTGCGTTACAAACTTATAAGCCAGATGTTACACTAAAATTTTCATAGGTGATATTGCACTTCAAAAACCATGCACTCAGACAAGTACCAGAAGTCCCTGTTCTGGGTCTGACTTGAATGTCTCCTCCACAAGGAAAATATTTAATGATAACTAGAAGATACTAGGCAAATGTTCAAATGAGAGAAGCAAGCAACAGGCCTACTAGGCTATGACACCTATGAATCCCAAAGACCAGCATCCTGTGATAATCTTAAGTGGCCAAGAGTGGTATATCTAGTTGGAAACCAACAGGTATCTAATTGGAATTAAAGACCTACTCAACAAGAGGGAAATCATGACTGTTAGCAGAAGCCTCACTAACGCTCCAGACCTAGTGAAGTTATGAATCTTGATGAAGAATCTAAATATTCTTCATTACTAAATGAGCATAATCCCCAAGAAAACTGTAAATAATTTGACCTCATAACACAGATACCTATAGTCCTCAACACTCCACAGGAAAATTGCTCTTCAAAAAAATGGAAACCTGTATAAAAAGCCACAACCACTTTCAATATACTTGTTGAGTCCAGTCTTAATAGACATATATACAAAACACACCCACACATAAGTATCAGGGAACTTTGTGAAAAGAAGGAGGAAAGATTGTAGGAGCCAGAGGATCAAGGCCTTTACTGGTAGATAACATCTCTTAGTAATGTGAGAAGCTAGCCCCTTGAAGAGTCACCAGCAAAATTTTATAAATTTTAATTCCCTATCTCAAAGAAAGACTACTTGTAATACATATTTATAATATTCTTGTATTTTGCCTGATATACTAAATACCAGGAGATCTTTAAAAAGATGCAAACTATGATATAAATAACAGAAAATTCACTGTTCTTATACATGTCAGCTTTTTCTTTATCTATGCTAGGTAGAGGGCCAAATGGAGTAACTTTTGCCCTTCTAGAGATTGACCAGAATATGTCCTGAGTCCCTAATACAGGGCTCAAGGGGAATCCGTACATTTGGTGACAAACTGCAACTTTTTGTCTGAGAGTGTAAAGAAAAAGTCACTCACACAGTCTCTATTTTTTTAGTTAATTTTTTACATTCCAACCCCCACAGCCATATGAATAGGCTGGGCAAGGTATCTCTCCATATAGAATATGATCTACTATGTCATTTTGTCACAAGTCTCTTTATGGTATCCGTGATTATTCTAATTGAGGGAGTTTATGGAAAAAGACACTCATATTCTTAATGGTTACCTTCCTTATTTTCTATTCTCTCATGTTCTTTCTATCTTTTTTCTGTTCTTTTTGTTGTATACTTTTTTCCTACAGCTTATATACCCCAACATACCTTAGTAGGCAATATACAGATTACATTCTGATTTTAAAGTGAATGACTATTATAAATACAGTAAAAACCTGTCTTTCATCTGCCTTATATGATTAAGTATTTTATGTATGACAGGTAAATAACAAATTATCCAAAGAACCCACATATTTCATAACCCAAGCAACATGTTAATAGATTAACACTGAGGGCTAGCAAGCTATTATTATCAGGTCTTTTACTGTCAGGCTGCATTTTGCAGTTGCAAAGAACCAATTACTTTTTTATTTATCTTGAAAAGTATTCCAATAAAGACTTAAAGGAATCATAAACCCAAACGTTTATTTATGAAAAACAATCAATCAGATGGCAAAGATACTTCCTACCAAGCATGACGGCAAATCAGAGCTTGATCGCCAGAAATCAAACAACAAAGAGACAAACAAGTTCAAGTAATCTCTGACCTCCAAGAATATGACACATCACATGTGCATATGCATACACACACATGAAGGCAATTATCTAAAATATAATAAAAGTTAAAAGAACCCTGTCTCTGAAGGGTCTAGGCCTTGCCCTATATGAAATGACAGACTATGGACACCCCCATGGAGGACCTCACCCTCCCTGGGGAAATGAGGGGATAATGGGGGGGTTAGGGGGAGGGCACGGGAGGAGGGGAGGGAAAGGGAGAGGGACCTGGAACTGACTTGTGAAGCAACCTTGCTTCTTATCTAAATTTAAACTGAAAAATAAACTAAAAAAAAAAAGAAGATGACTGGATCCCACAATCCCTTTTGATGGCACACTTTAAAAAAGAAACAACAAAAAAAGAACCCTGTCTCGTAAAAACCAAAAAAAAAAAAAAGACCATATGAAAAGGAAAAGAAAACCGGAAAAATTGGGCACCAGTATAAGTAAGGAAAGAAGCACTCTGGGATCTAAAAATAGCAGGAAACACTTTTTCCTAGAGCTTCCAAACCAAAATATAGTTTGCTATTATCATCACTTCAGACCATAGTCTTATGTTAAGCACCATAACTCCATAACAATAAAAAGATAAATCCCTCATATTCAAACAACAGAGTCTGTGGTAACGTGTTACAGAAGGAATAGAAGGTTAACAATGCGTTGTACTTTACAATTTTGTACAAATGTTTTTCATACCGAAAGACATAAGAGGCATTGAACCCATCATTTTGCCAAGCTCTGCAAACATTTTCCTGAGTATTTCATGAGTATTTAGGCTCTCAGGCAGAAAGGGGAAGTGTGCAGGTCCAGGGCTGTTTATGGTGCAGGCAGGTGGTAAGACTCTCAGAGGAGGATTTTGTTGGAGGCTGCAGCACTGTGGGAGGAATACTATGATCTTGCAAACAGTAATAATCTCCCATGTCTTCAGCCTGGACACTGCTGATGGTGAGAGTGAAATCTGTTCCAGATCCACTGCCTGTGAAGCGAGCAGGGACCCCAGTGTGCCGAGTGGATGCTAAGTAGATCAGCAGTTTAGGAGACTGCCCTGGTTTCTGCTGGTACCAGGCCAAATAGTTATTGCTACCAAGTGAAAGACTCTGACTGGACTTGCAAATGATGGTGACCTTTTCTCCTGATGACACAGCCAAGGAGGTTGGAGACTGAGTCATCATGATATCTCCACAGGCACCTGCAATCAGGAATAGCAATGATCATGTTTAACAAAAATATTACAAAGCTTAATATAGATGAAATTTGTCATTAGATGTCGTTGTAGTGTCATATTCTCAGAATATTGTTGCATAAAAATATTATACTCTGGAACAAAATTATATATTCCTTTTATACAAAGAAGAGACTCTGAAAATATCTTAATACTTTGAAATTTCTCACCAGACACCCAGAGCAGCAAGGACATGAGGACCTGGGTCTGTGACTCCATCTTGCTCCCCCTGCCTGTCTGAAGCTGCTCAGTTCTCATTATCAAGACCTGGTTTATAAATTCCAAGCAGCTGGGCTGGGTTGGAGGGGCCTATGCAAATCAGTCAGCAAATACGAAAGTAAGTGCCTGGAGTTGTACGAGAGTAGCTGGTGTCAATCAACAGGCAAATGCACTATTACAGACAGTATCAGATATTACTGGAAGATACTGGCTTACTAGTTTATCTAATAAAGGTCTTGGTTAAAATCCAAGACATATTTAAATGAGGTGACATTTGCAGAAATAGTAAGAGAGCAATTTCAGATTGACAGTACTGGGGAAAAGATATGTTCAAATAATTTACAGGCTCTAATTAGGTAACCTATAGTAAGAAAACATGCAATAAAAGAAAGGAAAAGTGGGAGGAAGAAAAGAGGAATGCCAAAAATAATGAGAGAATTGATACTAATTTTTTTCAATATCTCCCTTCTCCAAAGCCACTGTTAAACTAAGGATGATAAATAGTGTCTCAGATATTTGAAATCCAGTTTCTGGGTCAAACATGGATCAGAGATGCAAAGAGAAGTCCATATTCGCTCTGTGGAACTGCTTGGGGCATCAATTTAAAACTGAGATCAGAGTAACTTTAATCTTGAAGCATAGGTAAACCCAACAGAAACTAGCACACATCCTCACTACAGTTTCAGAAAATGGAAAGAAGGCTCTAAATGGGGGAATGAAAGCATCAATATTTCTTCAAGAATTCATGGATGTAGACCAACATTGTCAAAAGGGTTTAGTTCAGAAATGCATATTCTACAGTAATCAAAAAATTAGCAGTATTGAAACTGGATTAAGATGGGCTTGCTGGAATACTAAACAGGAAAAGAACTTTCCAGAAGGGAGCTCAGTCATCCTAATTCAAGTAGCAGTTTTACAGAGACCAATGGAACTCAATATCAGAGATTATTGCCATCAACAGGGAAAAAATGATTGAGTATATATGAAAATCAATATCAATAACAGAAAACACAGAAACCACCTGGATTCCTGGTTAGTGGTCCCTGAAAGCACATATGAAAATTAAATTATAAACCCAGTATTATGTGTAAAATATAAGAAATAGAAAAGTAAATGAATACATAAAATACCATGGCAAAGAGTGAACATTCACTATTCACACCTATAATCACAGAACTGGGGAGACAGAAGCAGGAGCATCTTGAGTTTGAGGCCAGCATGAGATATATAACAAATTCTAGTCCAGTCTAATCTGGGCATGGAGACAATCTCTGAAAAATGTGCATCACTAATCAACTGGTTACAAGCAAGCTCATGGCCTTTGATATCTGAAGTTATTTATCTGTTAACAAGTTAGCATTAAGCCAAAAATATTATTGAAAATTAAATATGCATTTAAGCAATATGTACTTCCCTCTCACTTTTCAATTAATATATAAGGTTATATATATACTTTTCGAGTATAAAATGTTAAATTATTTCAGATAAGCATATTCAAATCTCCTCTGTCAACTGATAACACACCATAATAAGAGAGAGATGGTGTGCAGGTTGAGAAAGTTCCCAATCTCACTGTCAAGGACATAGCAGATGACTAACTGCCCCAGCCTGTGACTAACAAGCTGTTATATGCTCTCTTTCTTTGCTAAACATTTTACTTTTCTTTGTGAAACCTGCAGTGAGTTCAGATTTTGCTTTCATGACATTTACTGTTGCTCATTCAGATTGGGCATATGGGAACTGGGCTCTTAAAAATCCAAAGGTTCCTGCCATCAATCACGTGCTTCTCATAGTATGTAAGGAGAGACCATTGGAACTAAAATTATCTTTAAAAATCCATGTTATATTATGTATAATGTGAAAAGCCATACAGTGTGTCCTAATGCATTAGATTCTGTGGGCTGTGATTAAAGATGCACAATAAACCTGCTGGCTAAAAACAATACTGATTGATTTGCTTCCAGCTTTGGAATCAGGGTGTCTGGAGTTGATGGCCTTGAGCTCATGGGATAGAGCACCCTCTTCTATGAATACCACTGTAGATGTAGACAAAAGTAACTTTAGTCTTAGATTCATACTAACATGAGACAGTACACAGCTAAACTCAGCTTTTCGGTCTCATCAAATAGAATCTTTTATTTTTTGGTGAGGGTGTGTGGCTACCCAATATCCATGACAGGAAACAGTAGACGTAGGAAGATTTTCATTACTTCAGATAACACACTAGCATATCATTCCTTGTTAAAATAGAAACATGATAACTAAGGATGCAGGAATACATTCAATATACATACAAGGAGCCCAGAGTCATGCATGTGGCTTCTCTCATGACAGCCTATGAAGATTCTCTGTGTCTGTGTGAGAGCATGAAGTTGGAGAAGCAACCTGTAATAGCTGAGGGCTCTTTGCCACCCATTCAAGAATGCATTTAAGACAAACCCATTAATGACCTATCTGCTTCAACAGCCATGGATGGCTCGGTGGTAGAAATAGAGAGATGATGAGACCATGTTCTTTTTTTATTTTTATATTTTGTTTATGGGTTTTGAGGTTGGATGCATATCTGTGCAGGAAACATGCCTGATGGCCAAAGAAGGCAGAAGTGAGAGTCATATCCCCTAGAACTGGAGGCATAGATCTTTGTGAGCCATCATGTGGGTACTAGGAATGGAACTTAGATCCTCTGAAAGAGCAGCCAGTGAGTTCTCTTAAATATTGCAATATGTCCTCATACCCACAACTGCCTTCTAAGCAAATAAACTTTATGGAGAATGAGGAAAATCCCTGAAAAATGAAGAACTGTTCACAACTGAAGGATTTGACTCAGGAAGAAGAGAGCAGAGAAAGTGGAGGATATTTAAATGACTTCTAAAGGTATTTTGTTCCTTGTAAAGACTGTTCATCTTTGAACCTGAGATGTGAAACAAACTGCTTACACATAAAAATGACTTTATTTGAAACCAGGTATTTCTTCCTCTTTTCTCTTCTTACTTCAGGGACTGGGGGGAGAGGGACCATGATGATGCAGAATCGAATTTCCTCGTCATCATGACAGGACAGCCTAACTCCATTTCTGGAAGAACCACAACAGTAAAAACAGTAAATACATAATAACTTCAGACTGACAGGAGTGTGTCCTTTTCTTTCTTTTTTTTTTCTTTTTTTATGTTTAAATTTTTATTTTATGTATGTTTTCTTATTTAAATTAGAAACATGCATGATTCAAATGTCAATCCCAGCTGCCCCCTTCTTCCTCCACTAGCACCACTCCCACCCCCCTACTCCCCCCACCCCCAGCCCAATTCCCACATCATTCCCCAGGGAGGGTAAGGCCCTCCTTGGGGGGGATATCCAGAGTCTGTCATTTCATCCAGGGCAAGATGTTGATGTTGGTTGTTGGTTTGCTGTATATAGCTTTTATCATGTTTAGGTATGTTCCTGTTTTCCCAGATCTCTCCAAGACCTTTAACATGAAGCGGTGTTGGATTTTATCAAAGTCTTTTTCAGCATCTAGTGAGACGATCATGTGATTTTTATTCCTCAGCTTGATTTTATGGTGGATTACACTGATAGATTTTCGTATGTTGTACCAATCCTGCATCCCTGGAATGAAGCCTACTTGACCATGGTGGATGGGTTTTCTGATGTGGTCTTGTATCCAATTTGCCAGTATTTTATTGAGTATTTGTGCATCAATGTTTATGAGGGAAAATGGTCTAAAGTTCTCTTTCTTAGTTGTGTCTTTGTGTGGCTTGGGTATCAATGTTATTGAAGCCTCATAAAAAGAGTTTGGCAAAGACCCTTCTGCTTCTATTGCATGGAATACTTTCAGGAGAATTGGTATAACCTGAAAGTCAAAAGGCCCTGGATAGGTATTCTACAAGCGCTACTAGACCAGGGATGACAGCCCAGACTACTATATCCAGCAAAGCTTTCAATCACTATAGATGGAGAAAACAAGAAATTCCGCAACAAAACCAGATTTAAACAATACATATCCACATATCCAGCCCTATAGAAAGTAATGGAAGGAAAACTCCAAACCAAGGAAGATAACTACACTAAAAAAGCATAGGCAATAGATAACCCCACTTTACCAAAGGTGGGGGGAACTCACACACAATCCCACCACCAAAAACAAACAACAATTAGTGGTCATTAATATCCCTCAATATCAATGGCTTAACTCACCTATAAAAAGAAAGAGGCTAACAGAAGGGATTCAAATCAAAATGCATCTTTCTGTTGCATACAAGAAATATATCTCAACTTGAAAGAGAGATGCTACCTCAGAGAAAAGGGATGAGGAAAGATTTTCCAATTAAATGGTCCTAAGAAACAAATTGGTGTAGCTATCCTAATATCTAACAAATTAGACTTCAAACTAAAATTAATCAAAAGTGATGAAGTAGGTCATTTCATAATCACCAAAAGAAAAATCCAACAAGATGAAGTCACAATTCTGAATATCTATTCCCCAAATACAAAGGTACCCACATTCACAGAAGAAATATTACTAAAACACAAGTCACACATAAAACCACCCACACTAATTGTCACCACTGGACAGGATTACCAGACAAAGGAACTGACAGAAGTTATGACCCAATTGGGTGTAACAGATATCTATAGAACAGTAAATCCAAACATAAAAGAATATACGTTCTCTTCAGTGCCACATAGAACCTTCTCTGAAATCGACCGTGTACTCAGATACAAAGCAAATCTCAACAGATACTAAAAATATTGAAATAACCATGATTTAAAGTTAGAATTCAACAAACACACAATTTGCAAAAAATCTTTTAAAAAAATCATGAAAACTGAGCCGGGTGGTGGTGACACACGCCTATAATCCCAGTACACTTTGAAAGCAGTGCTAATGGGAACGTTCATAGAAGTAAATCTCCACATGTAGAAACTGGATCATAGTCACACAAAAGGTTTAACACCACACCTGAAAGCTCTAGAAGAAAAAGAAGCAAACTCACCCAGAAGGAGTAGATACCAGGAAATAATCAAATTAAGGGCTGAAAACAATAAAGTAGAAA